TGAGGGCATTGGGGGTGTCGAGAGGGGGGGATGGGTGGCAGGGGTGGTCTGTGGGCCTGAGAATTTAAGATCCCATGGCTAGTGTTGTCGCCACTGACTGTGCAGATAAAGATTTTTTTTTACTCCTGATAGAAACAACCCAACAACCTTACCAAGGATTTTCACCAGGGTCTAGCCCGGCATTGTAACCTTCCGGACAGCGACTCCTCTCCATCTTTGTATCTTTGCCTTTTTTTTTAATACTTATGTACTAAAATGAGGTAGAGATCGTATTATGTGCGTCTTCTGGGTTGAAAACCTAATCAATAAAAAACTTGTTACAGTAATTTCATAACAGGCGTCTGTGTTGTCTCCATCAGTTCTGATTTACCAAATGTTCACGTCTATGACTGATATTATCCAAACATTTGTATTGATTACGCTGTGCTGTAGATCAGGTTCTTTATTTGACGTTTCAGCATTGATTTTCCTAGTAGTACCGTATAAATTAAGTTCATTTTATCAAATGATTTATGTCAAAATTTTGTAATGCTTGCATAAGCAGACTCCCTGTCCATTATCGTCACTGGTGGACATATAATGCTCTTAAGACATTTCTGCTGAAAATTACTCGTGTTTTGAAATGAAATGTAGTTACAGTCTTGATGTTGTTGTTGTTGTTGTTGTTGTTATTGTTGTTGTTGTCCATCTTATATGATGAGGACCACTCTTTCTTTCATTCGTCATGAAACTGTAGTTGACTTTTGTGACTGAAAGCTTTCTTCAAATAGGGCCTTGGGACTGACGTCATAAGCTTGTTGTGACGTCATCACCCCGGGCTAACGGTATGTTCCGTTTTCAGACAGTCAGCTTTTTCCCTGTGATTTCGGCCATCCCCTCTTTCCCACAAAATCCGAAGAATAAGCACCAGAATAGGACACGTATGTAGGTACACACACATACAGACTTAAAGGGAACACTAGGATATCCCATTTCAGCTGACAGTAGAGTAACATAGAAACATAAAGTACAACAGAAACTACTTACATTGTAGCTGTAGAATGTTCCATAATGTAGCCACACAATCCACTGAAAATTAATGAGTGAATTTAGTCAGCTTTCTTTTGTCAGCTGAAATAGGCTTCTGTATAGCCGCTTATTCTACACAAGTCTATAAAATTAGAAGGTTATATCAAACCTCCACGGCCAAGCAGTTGTATGTAGTTCGTGGACATTGCACTTGAGTCAACATCATATGCTAATGACCTGTCCATCTACAGTAAAGACTTGCATGCAGAACACTAACATTTATTTTGTTCAGCTTACTAGAGACAAATCTATCAATTTACACCAGTGATGCCTCTAAACCTTCTAAAGCCAGTTAATTGACAGTCATTTGGGTTTATAGGGCAAGACTGTCCGGTGTACTTCTGACATCTTCCACTGAGGCAAGACTGTCCGGTCTACTATTGACATCTTCCACTGGGTCAACATATGTATCTGGTGTACTATTGACATCTTCCACTGAGGCAAGATATGTATCCGGTGTACTATTGACATCTTCCACTGAGGCAAGATATGTATCTGGTGTACTATTGACATCTTCCACTGAGGCAAGATATGTATCTGGTGTACTATTGACATCTTCCACTGAGGCAAGATATGTATCCGGTGTACTATTGACATCTTCCACTGAGGCAAGATATGTATCTGGTGTATTATTGACATCTTCCACTGAGGCAAGATATGTATCTGGTGTACTATTGACATCTTCCACTGGGGCAAGATATGTATCCGGTGTACTATTTCCTCAACTATTTGGGCACTGAATTTTACTACAATCCCAGGCATTATAGTGGATTACAAGATTTTTAAGCTGTGACCATCTCAGAAGTTTATTTATGTCTACAATGTTTCAGGCCTCTCTAACTAAGCTTATTTTTTTTTTTTTTTTTTTTTTTTTTTTTTTTTTTTTTTTGTTTTTTTTTTGTGTGGTAAGTTTTTTTTAAATTTTTTTTATTTGGACAAAGACTTGTATAGTCATATCAATTAACACCAGTATGCTGACACATATGGGTGGTGCAAAGTCTGACTGTATGGAAATGACATACAAAACAATATATGCTAAAGCTCCATCTGCAGAAGTGTATTTAAATTTTTTTTTTCAAACCGTCCTTTTTGTTTGTTTTGTATCTGTGACTTCAAAGGACAATATCAAGAACAAAAAAAAAAAAAAAAGATATAAAACCGAACGAAAACTGTATTAACAAGCTTTACAATATAACAAATACAAACAAAAAGTGAACGTTGCGGCTACGGAGCCTCCATCAGCACATACATAAATCAAACAACCACACAAATACACAAAATCCCCTATCTGGTATCTCGAAGCAGCCAGGTCGATGACTTCTCAGCTTACTGCCGAAATACTGACTGACTGACGGACTGACTTTCTACCCCACTAGAACATCACACAAGCGATAAACACCCGATGACACAAAGTGCCACCATGTGGATGAGGATCGCCGTGGAGAGGTCCCAGAAACCGCATTCAGACAATTGGCCATATTTATGGCCTGCCTATATTTCGGACCCTGGCAAAACCAGGGTGGGTGCCGAAACACGTGGAAAAATTACCCCCTGTGGAGTACAAGGGGCCATAACTAGGGGGCTAGAGATAAAACTTTGTTGGCAGTTCAATCCCCTAGGAGTTTAAATAAAACTGAGTTGGCTATTCTGTCCAGAGGGTGTTTAGGTACCCAAAGTGTAAACAAAGCGATTCTCAAAATACTTGCGGACTCTGTCGCTGGAATGGCTAGATTTAATGGCTGTCATCTCCATGTCGAGGACACCTTGGTGATCCTGGGAATTGAAGTGCAACGGTACTGGTTTCAGGGCACCATTCTGCACATCCAAAAGATGTTGTCTTAACCTGTCAGCCAGCCGTAGATGCGTTTCCCCATTGTATTTCATGCCAGATCTCGTACAGTTGATGGCATAAATGACATTGCCGCTGGTACAATAGACTGCTTCAGGTATGTGGAAGGTGGCGTTCGGGAATTCTAGACTAGTCCCACGGACCACATTTGGACAGGTCCTGCATACAGGTCTGTAGCAAGAGACCATGCCGAAGTCGGACTCAGACTCGAGACGTAAATGACTCTTCACTAGAATGTCCTTGAGGTTACGGTCATGCATGTAGGCCACTAGAGGAGGTTCAGAAAAATTCGTCCTGGTGACAGGGTCGGCTTTGAGTTTTCGTGTACTAAAGAAATAGAGACAGATTTTTCGTCTACAAAGATTGATAGTGACAGGTCTCTTGAGCTACAGTAATCAGCAGTGACAGTTCCCATGTTCTACAATAATGTGTGTGCATGAATATGACAGTGATAAAAGTTGATATTTAATTTACTTTTCTGGCATCGATCTCGTACACTAGGCATAGCGTATCACGCATTGCCGTTTATCCTGCATTTAAATCTGACCGGTATGTAAAGGCTATCTCAATTTTACATGTTTCATACTGACAGACTCAATAGATGCTAATGTACGTATCAACATTTCCCAGTGTGGGTTCCGGGGTCCCATTGTGGGGAAAACAAAAATAGACCCACTGCCTCCCCAAAAGCATGTTGTGAGAGTCGATTAATTGCGGAGCTTCCTTTAAAGTCGGAGTGCATCTGCCTAAGAGGCAAGGGACCAACAGTCTGCATCCAAGGGAATCAGATCGGTAAAACGGATGCACCCGCAACACTCAGGTTCAGGAGCAGGAATACAGTTCAGAAGTGGACGAACAGCTAGAACTTTCCGCTAGAGTGTACAGCTGGTGAACGCGAAGAAGATGAAGAAAATATCAACGTTGAGTAAATACAATACTTTCAACCACAGGCCGTATACAAATCTTAAGATAGGTAAAGCTGTGATTCGTTACAACACATCAGACGTCAAGAAAAGGGGCGCTTTTTGTTCAAGAACTGAGAATGCTGGTAATCAGCACAAATTTTCTTTTGAAAGCAGGTTTGGGTACACACTTCAAAGTGTCCATTACTACGTCAGCGCTGAAACACACGATGCCTGTAAAGGTTCCGGTAGTGTGTACTGTTGAGTACAACCAAACTAAAAGCCCCGCATACAGGGGTGCATTCTTGCGATTATGACTTTTTAACCAACATACCCTAACTGCCATGAAAAATATAAGTCCGTCACGCTAGTACTTGTTAGAGACATTTTTTTTTTAAACAAATGTTTTCCCCATTATGACTGAAGACTAAGATTATTGTGTCAAGTTTGAAATTTTACCTGAAGCAAAACCAGTAAACCCCGTCCAAAAAACAAAAAACAATAAGATTTGTCTGGAGCATTCACCATCTCATTTGCCCCCCTCCCTCCCCCACCACCATCCCCCATCCGTTTACGCTTATGATGTAACCTGTATTGCAACGTGACGGGTGCCCTAATTATATCTTCCTAGGTCTTTCAGTTCAAAGAAAAAATAGATGCCGAGTGAGGTAAATGCGATGGTACTACAACAGTCGGTGTTCCACCTCTTTAAAGTCACTTGCAATTTGATGTGTCGTCAATGAAAAAAAAAAAGAGCTCAAGAGTTTAAACAGGTTGTATGAGATTTGTCTCGTCGGGGTGACAACCAGGGTCTGGCCTCCTTGAGTCGCAGGGGTTTTTGAAGCATTCGTTAGTATTTCCGGAAGAAATATATTGTCAGCCTGTCTTATTATTTATTATGACGTGTAAAGAACTAGTGTGCTATTGGCAAAGACAGCGTTAAAAAATTATACGACGCTTTTCACGTCTTTAAGTGAAATGTGTGTAAACTGTTTGACATATATATTTTATAGACCAATCGGCGCTCGGTGGGTGAGAGTCTGTATAGGTATACTTTTAAAACTTTTGCTGCGCGAGACAGAGCCTTCGTGGGTATGTGTGGTGTGCTATCGTGTTGATTCTTAAAAAAGTAAACTTTGTGTAATTGTTTTTCTTCATAATTTCTCTTCCTCACAACACAGATGGTTCTCTGCCTGATCATCTACATCGTCTTCAGGCCTACAGCTCAAGCCATCCAGCCCATCCCTACAGAGAAGTTTGTTGAACTCTCCTGCGACATGACATCCCCAGGCCTGGCCTCGTTCCTGGTATACAACCTCGTTCTGGTGTTCCTGTGCTCCATCTTCGCATTCAAGACCCGAAAACTCCCAGACAACTTCAATGAATCCAAGTTTATATCCATGTGTGTAGCAACCACCCTTGTCATATGGCTGGCTTTTGTTCCTACCTACTTCACGGCCAACCGAAACTCCGTACGGATCATGCTGCTGTCGATTGCTTTGCTACTCAACCACACGGTGGCACTGATCTTTTTGTTTGTGCCCAAACTCTACGCCGCTGCTTATCTTCCGACAGAAAACTTCGCAACTTCTCGTTTCCAGGCGGGTGAAGCAACAACAGGCGTTCACAAAAGTAGTTTCTCTAACCGTATAATGCCTTCTCCTGAGCCAGACCCATTTACTGCAAAGTTTGGAAATGATGTTCATTTCTAGAACTTTGTTTATTATAGCAAGGTGTCATATTATGCTTTGTATCCAGAAGCTCTGTGTCTCTTAAAATCGGAACAATCGGATTTTGATAACCTAAAATTGTAATGATAGATAGCCTAAGACGGTAGCGAAAAGAAATATAATCAGCTGTAATTCACACAGAACACCTCAGCCGTACAAATACATAAAACATCATCCAGTGATGAGAAAAAAAGTGGCTGAGATTGTTCTGAGGGCTCAAAGTGCCTGAGACTCCAGGTACCGGAATCTCTGCATAATAACAAGTATCGCGATCTGTGAGGACATATGAACTCCTACGTCATTTTCTAAAGCATTGATGAGAAAAATAAAATTTCCAGTCGCTTGCTGTGGCCGTGCTCTAATATTGTTTGCTCATTTTCATAATAGTTATCGATGTTGAATATCTTCTTTATTAGCATTTCTATCAAGTAGTATTTAGTATCTGATTACATCGACACTAAATTAAAGAAACTGGCGGGACGACAGCTAAACCAACCCTGAGTTTAGCCAGAAATTTCCAGTTCCAAATTCATGGCAAACTGGATACCCCACAATTGCTCTGTTCCTGTGCCAATGACAAATATAAACAATGTCTACCGGAAGTCACTTGTGGAAAAAAAAAGCTAAATTAATGGAATGCAGTCTGGGCAACGTCAACAGCATGCACGCATTTTTTTTTAAATATCCAGAAATCATGAGTTGTTAACCATTTGGCTCGGTACTATGGATATCGCAACCCTTCGGCCTTGATTCCATGAAAGATATCGTAAATCTAGGAGAAATGTAGCTTTTCTGCCTACTCACCGGTCGTGAACCCAGACCACAAGGAGTTCGTCACCCGGTCACCGCGAAGTTAGATTTAACCAACTACGCTAGAGAGCTGGGCGCACGCATTTAAAATGCATAAGACGGCTGTAAAAAATGCCATCAGAAGCAGTCGGCCACAAGAACGGCCGTTAATCCCCGACGGAAGCAGCAACAACAAGAAATCAAGTTGTCTTCTCAATTTTGCATAAAGCCAGGTCTGTGACAACACTCCAACTCTACGACTTCTTCAACCGAAGTTTGCACTGCAAACCAGGCTGGAAACAGTCAAAAAGCAACAGAAACTATAGTAACGAGGAATATGTAGAACTCATCAACATGACAGGGACGACACTGACTGCATGACTGTGAAAATAACTTGCTCCCAAAGGACAAAACCTTTAAATTAAACAACGGACGAGGTCAATGCGTAATCGGAAATACATTATAAGACAAAATATGAAAAGGGAGAGCTATTTCGAAACTAAATATGTATGACAGAGCTGTAGAAAATGACGATAGATATATTATATCGACACAGAGATTATATTTCCGCCAGGCGAAAACACACTTGATAGTCCTTCAGTTAAAGGATGCTGATGCTGCTGTTTCTTCTCTTTTTTTTATTGGCATCACTTATAAATCCTGGGAATGGAGAGTGGGAGGGGGGCACTATATAGGTAATTATCTTCTGTTTGCTTACCAGTCTACTGTTTCAGTCGCTCTTCTTTTCTTTTAGGCTGTTCCCGATGCCAATCATTGGTTTTTTTTTTTTTTTTTGGTTCCATGTTTTAATGTCTTCCTTTTGGTCGTTGTTTATTGCATTTCTTTAGATGGCTGACTGTATCACGTGGTACCAGCCAGAGTTTTCTCGTCGGATGGCCTAACCATGTCATCTGTTGCTCTTTGACCAAACACATGACTGATTTCATTCTTTTTCTTTTTCTCATTTGTTCTTTAGTAATTGCTTTCTTCTTTTATCCCGGAAGCTCTCCCAGGACATAGCTTCGCTGTTTTTATGTGTGTATACTCATTAGCTGTAGTAAGGGAGGTATACAATTTGTCAAAAGTATTTCTAATTAGATTTAAACTTCTAATTAGTCTGGACTTCTTCTTCTCCCAGAATTTGAGTCTTGCGTGCACAACCATTTAACACATCCGGCCTATTTAAAAGCAAACTATTGGTTCCTTGCCTCTCAGGCAGATGCACTCCGACTTCGAAGTAAACACCCCTAATTAGACTTCTACGACATGCTTTTAGGAGAAACAGTGTTCTATTCTTTCCCAGAACCCACTCGGGAAATCTCAGTACTTGATTTGCTATTCCATATTCTCGGTGTATTAGCTGACATTGTTCCGTCTGTCAAGAAGATAGTATCATAATGAATTATAGACAGGTAACGAAATCACAGCTCACGGTGATGACGAGTGTCGCTAGTAAGTTTCACTGGTGTTAAAAGCACCACCGAAACCACCACCACCACGATCATCATCGACATCATCGTCTTCATCGTCACATATGGCTCGCTTTCGATTCCTTCACTCCTCTCTATTGCTTGCAACTTTCTCGATTTCAGCCAAGCATTTGTTGCTTTTTGTAATAATATTCTCCTTAATGTTTTCCTTGGAGGTCCTCTTTTTCTCTTTCTCTCAGACTATGTGTTTCCCATGTTAATGCCTGTTGTGTAATTCTTTGCTCATTTAATCTCAGAGTGTATCCAGTATATTTTCTTGTCTTGTGTAGTCGATATCGGTATTTGTCTAGACATTTCTCTGATACCCCTACTTTTTTTTTTTTGGGGGGGGGGGGGGGGGGAATTCATTTATGATAATGATTTTTCTCAAACTTTTTCTTCTTCGCGTTCACCAGCTGTACACTCTGGCGGAAAGTTCTGGTTGATCGTCCACTACTGAACTGCAGTCCTGCTCCAGAACCTGAGTGTTGCGTGTGCATCAGTTTTACAGATCTCATTCTCTTGAATACAGACTGTTGGTTCCTTGCCTCTCCGGCAGATGCACTCTGACTTCAAAGGAAGCTCCCCAATTAGTCGACTCTTACGACGTGCTTTTGGGGAGGCAGTGGGTCTATTCTTGTTTTCCCCACAATGGGGGAGCCCCGGAACCCACACGGGGGTCTCAAACATTTATTTTCAAAAGCAGTTAACTTCCGTTCCATAGCTTCCACAATTTGAGAAGAAGATTTCAAGAACACAGTGGCATGTTTTTAACTTAGTTCTTTTCAGATGCTCCGCTCTTAAGATACCTGAACTCATTTTCTTCTTTTAACTTTTTACTTTATCGAATTCCTCCCTCCATACAACATCATCATCAGTTCTCGTTATTCCAAGTGGCACATGAGGCTTCAGAGAGGACTTTCCATGCTTTCCTGTCCTGTGCAATCTTTAGTGCAGTTTTCCATGTCAAAGATGCCGCACTCAGGTCACTTTCCATCGTTCGTCTCCATGTTGTTTTTGGGCGCCCCTGTTTTCTCTTTCCCTCTGGTGTCCATGTTAGAGTTGTTTTGGCAGGTATATCAGGATTAATTCTCATAACGTGGCCAAGCCATTTCCATCTTCTCTTGGTTATCATACTGTCTAAAGTTTCTTGGTTTGTGACTTGAAGTAGTTTAGTGTTTGAGATTGTATCTGGCCAGAAATTTTTGATAATTCTACGTAGACATGTGTGGTGGAAGGCGGACAGCTTGTGTGCATTCTTTTTGGTCATTCTCCAGCATTCCGCTCCATAAAAAAGAACTGGCGAAATAATGCTCTTGTAGAGTCGGAGTTTCGTGCCTCTGCAGTAACTGTTGGATTTCTAGATTTGCCTCATCCTTTCAAAAGCAGCTCTAGCTTTGTTCAAGCGTGACTTATGTCCTCTTCGGTCTCTCCCGGTAGGGACACCACACTGCCAAGATATGTGAAATGTTCTACATTTTTAAGAGTTTGGTTATTTATGATCACTGGTTGTTGGTTTGGACTGCTTGTCGTGATCTTAGTTTTCTTTGTATTTATTCTCAGTCCCACCATTTCTGCCGTGTTGTGTAGTCTGTTACTTTTTTCTTGTATATTTTCATGTTTATGTGATAGTAGTGCTATATCATCTGCAAAATCAAGGTCCTCAAGCATGGTGAATGGAGTCCATCGTATGCCTCTCAATGTCCTGTCTACTGTGTTCTTTAGTATCCATCCATACAACATGGTCCATGACATTCTATTCTTATGAATTCACCCTAATACCGGTATCATTTACGCCCATCTTTCAAACATCTTTAGATCGTTGTAGCAGTTCTGTAAATAATAATGAGCTCAAATATAAGATAATTTCAAGGTATAACTGGTGAACCGTAAAAATAAAAACTTTCAGACTGCATTATATATATATATATATATCCTGATGAGGTAGATCTCACGAGTATGAATGTCAAGGGCGTGGACAATGTGTGACGTGTTTTTGTATGTGATCGCCCATGTTGAAGAGCAGACAAACTCTAAGCCACTTCAAAGTGCTCGCATGGTTTCAACAATAACACTGCCTTTGAGAGCTACTAAATGGACATCTGTATGCTGATAAAACTAGTCATCCGGTAGTATCGTTTTCTCATTTTCCCGGTTTTCTTTAGTCAAGTGGCGTGCTTCTTGTTTGCAGATCTTAAGATTTTACAATGCTCTTGTTTACTCTCTACAACTAGAGGGTCTGGCCGGCTCATTACACTCAGGGGAAAGGCAAGATTGATATATAACCAGATTGTACCATCAGTATTGGAACTTTGCGCTGGCTGCTAAAGATAAGGACGGAGCATGAGTGGAAGTGCCCCGAGTGCTGTGATGTCAATTCTTGACTCAACTCAACACAACTCTCTACAACTTAAGTGGACAATAGTGGTGGTTGTAGTTAAGCTGATATTAATGGGTGGGGAAACAAAACCACACAAATTGGGATTAGAAAACTCAAAAGAAGGTAAGGGAAGAAAATATGCCATCTTCACAATAGAAGTTGTATTCACGTAGATATCCACTACTGTCTTTTTGGAATATTTCGATGTGAAGGTCAAGTTTCCTAACTCTTTGTCCTAGAGGGTTTGGCATCAGAGAGCCAAGAGAGACGTAAAATCGGCGCATTTTGCGTTCATTAAACTTCTAGGTAGGAACCTATGAACGTATGATGCGTTCCTTAGGGAT